AAAAAAAAAAGAAGAAAAAAAAAGAAAAAAACGAAAAAGAAATATGGATTAATGGAGTTGGAAAGTAGGGGGTCAGGTTATAGCTAGCCGCTTGAGTATAGCAGCCATGTACTTGCCCTGATGCTCGGCAAGGGCCAGCTCGGTTTCACTTGCCTCTCTTGTGCCATCACCTGCAAAGACTCCAGCACCGTACGGAGAACCACCTCTAATCGAGTCCATTTTAAACATGCCAGCACCAAAAGTGTAGCCAATGGGAACAAACAGCATGCCATGATGGGCTAGTTGGGTGATCGCCGTCCACCTGCATTATACAAATTACACATTCTACAAATTACACATTCAAGACAACGTTGAAAATTGCATACTCTAGGCTCATCTGTTACTACAGAATTAACAACACAGAGATCAACATTCAACACAATACGAATCTCTCCCCCTTTACGCCTTTCACTCTGGACAAATTTCCTCTCAGACAATAAAGAACTTCTACTAATATGATCCGATTTCCAGCTCCAAAAGAGATCCAAATTTGTTTAAGGTTGCAGAATAGCTAGTGGTCAAAGGAAAAAACAATGATGTATGTTTGTGCCATCTGGAACAACGATGTTCCTCGTGTTACACTAAAATAAGCATGCTGCGAATTTTTCTTATTATGTTCTCTTCTTACATAATCAACTAGAACGTGGAGGAAAACCAAACAACCAGACATGCATAACTTGCCAGCTATAGAGGTGGCACGACAAATAACTTATTGGATGTTATTCTCTCACGGATTATATGTTCAACTGCCTCATTTAGATATGGAACCATTAGATGGGCGGAAAAGGAAAGGATCATGAAAAATCTAAGCAAGATGATGTGCTATTGATTTGGGGTGATAATTCACAAAAAGAAAAAAAGGAAAGTTCAATAGAATCACCTTTTAAGACAACACTAAGTGCTGCTGGATTTGGAACTAACTAGTCTAATTTAGCCTAATATAGTGTTTTATTTCTGGATTTTGGTTGTGCTTGGGGAATTTATAGAGAATGCGACCCCATTCTTTGGTGAAAAAAAGGAGAGGTGTTTACAGATTTTATTGCTATTAATACACCAAAATTCCAAAATGAAAGATTACAGGATTATGCAATCATATGTATAATCTAATCCTAAAATTCACACATCAACTGATCAACTTCTACATATCATATACTATTCCAGAATGTGCATAGCCGATTTGGCAACATCGTGCGACGCTGTGATACTTGGTTTCCAATATCTGCCCTAGACATCCTACATGTTCACTCTTTTGGTACTTTTCTGACATTTAAAAACCGAACTTTTAACAAGGACAAGTACTCACAAATAGGGCCAATATAAGGTGCATATTTTAATTGATGTTTGTCATTTCCCACCCCCACCCCATCATAGAATGCTTGATATCCAATAGAACTTGGTGAAAAGACAAGAATGTTTCGCAGAGAAGAATCATGTAGTTTCTCTTAAATTCAACAAACAGTAAAGTTCAGTCAGACTTGCAAGTGAATCACCAGAAAGCAATCATATCCATCAATGTTTCATTTTATCATACAGAAAATTCATTGTTTCAGCTTTGGAAAGGCCTAACAAGACTTAATTGTCTGGAACAATAACACAATCTGTATCTAATCTGAATCACATTATTCAATATCATATCTTTAGCAAACAAAACATCAAACTGAATCAGAACATACTAATAATTGTCTCTAATCAAACCGTCTTACAACGACACTTTTAGCATGCGCAACAGGAATTCAAATGGTCTATCAAAGGTTAATCGTGTCATCACAATAAAGCATATTCCGATTCCAATAATGAAAACAAAGTGAAAAGAATCAATCACGCGCACAATCACAAAATAAAATCTAAAAGATCAAATCTATTCCAATGCCTGATATAAGATGTACATATATACTATTGAAGATGCTTACGCTGTGGTCTCTTGGCCGCCGCCTTGAGTCCCCGTGCTGACAAAGAACCCCGCGGGCTTGCCCGCGAGCTTCTGCTCCTTCCACAGCTGCCCTGTGGAATCAAAGAAGGCCTTCATCTGCGCAGCCATACATCCGTACCTCGTCGGGAACCCGAACAGGAACCCATCCGCACCAGCCAGGTCCCCGGCCGACCCGATCACTGGGATCGAGTCGTCCTTGGGCGGCGCCCGCATCTTGTCTAGGACATCGTTCGGCAGCGTCTCTGGCACCCGGTACAGTACGGCCTCGACACCGTCCACGCTGTCGGCTCCCACTTTCATCCGGCGGGCCAGACCCTCCACGTGGCCGTACATCGAGTAGAACACTATCCAGAGCTTGAGCTTCCGATTCGTTGTTTCCAGAAGAACCTTTGAGGTGGCGTCGTCTTCGGAGGTGGGTTTATCGGTGGCTGGCGGGGTGGATTCGGGGAGGATGTCGTCGCCGTCATCGGCGGTGGTGGTGGCTATGGGGAGCTTTTTCTTGCTAGGAACACAGCCCCCTCCTTTCCCCATTGAAAAGGCGAAATTGGTGTTGAATCAGGAGACAATTGAGAGTAACGGAGTAGGGAGGAGGAGCTGATGATGCGGCGGCGGAGTGGGGGAGGACCACGGCGGACTCGATGGGCTGTGGTTGGTGGCTTCACACTAATTTGAGCAGTATTTTTATAGTTTTATTCTTGATGATTAGTGTTCTGTTAAAACTTAAAACGCGTTTTTCTTTTCTCGAATTGTTCATTTTCTCTAACAGCATGGACTTATGATTCTATTATATAATATAAAATATAAGTGTCAGCACTCTTGAATTATATATACGATTCTTAATTAATAAACTATCCCGCCATGCACGGGTAAATAATATTAAATAATAATTATAAATAAGTATCAAGTTCGAGTCATTCAATGAAATAAGTGGAGAACCACTATTGATCTTCTCTTAAAAGAGCAAGAAAATATATTATAAATTGAAGATGAGGGTAAACGATATTAAATAATAATTATAAATTAACGATGTGGGGTTAACATGGCATATAATTTACGGTATATCAGTTTATTATAAACGATATAAAATTAGCTTGTCCAAGAGAAGATAAAATTTGTATATTTAAATAATTAAAAACTCCTAAAATATTATATTAACATATGTAAAATTATCCAAACTTTTCTATATTATTATCAAAAGATGTGAAGTCACCTAAAACTTTTTTAATTTTTTTTTTTGTAAAGAAAATATATCTAAAAACATTAAAGTTTACATTTATATTGAAGATGTTTTCTGAATATGACATGATAAAATATTATATAAAAGTACCTAAAATATTATAAGCCTAAATAAATACATTATAAAGTTTTTGAAAGAAAATTTACCTAGTATATATAAAATAAATATTGACATGATGTTGAAAATTATGACGATACTACCGTACTTAAAAATTTTGAGTATAGAAGATTTCAATATTTTTATTATTATTATTTAGTAATTTGAGTAATAAAAATTTCAAAATTATTATTTTATTCTTTTAAGTAATTTGAGTGCAGAAGATTTCAAAATTATTATTATTTTTTAGTTACTGTAAATATTATTATTATTCTTTTAAGTAATTTGAGTACAGAAGATTTCAAAATTATTATTATTTTTTAGTTACTGTAAAAAGAAATTTTGTACGCATAAAATTCTACGTTTTATGCAGATTTATCATTTTTACAAATAAAATGGGATTTATTTTATATTGAATGGAGACTAAGACAATTTTGAAAGAAAAAAAAAATCTATTTTCAAAATTATCCTCTTGATTTTGAAACAATACATTTGTAATTTGACTTAATTATTGTAAAATTTTGAAACTTATGGAAAAAAAATAGAGAGATGAATTTCGGTTGATTTGAAATTGTTAAACCATTTTGAATTTCGTGCAAAAGTGCAAATTGAAACCTAAAAAATCGTTGGAAAAAAAAACCTAAAAAAAATGAAATTCGTTATAATTTTGTAATTTTCAAGAGGTTTGTTAATTTTAAAGTGGCGCAAAATTCTTCATGTAAGGTTAGTCGTCCAAGGATAGAAGCATGTGATTAGATATTTTTAATTCAAGTTGAACAAAATCATTTATATTAGGAAGAGATTTTGAATTAAGCCAATTTTATGGCAACTAAAATGAGAAGGGATTTTGAATTTCAAAATTTTAATTCAAGTTTTAAGGTAATTTTTTCGGCAATCTGATTGTTTGGAATAAAAAACACAATTGAAATTTTTATACAAAATATGAGAAAGGAATTTGAATTTCAAATTATATTCAATGATCAAAATTTTTAGAACTTAATGGAACCAAATCCACTAATTTATCTTTTAGGGGTTTAAATGAACTATAATTTATTAAATGAACCAAATCCACCAATAAATGAACTGTAATTTACTTTTAAAAAAATAAATAAATAAAAGCATTCGATTAAAACAATTGTAGTAGCCGAGTGGATGTTAAAAGAGTTTCTGATTTTTTGTAAATACTAACGTAAGTTTAAATTATTAAATTAGGTGTTATTTATTTTTTTAATAAAATAAAATTTACAATGTGGTACACGATTATATGTTAAAGAAAGTTTTTATTTTTTAATTTGTGGAAATGGAAAAGGAATAGCCTAGTCTTGTGCAAAAATAAATAACAAATTCAACTTAACAAACTCCATATTTAAATGAATAATTAATGATGCATGTTTGTAAATAAAAAAATAAAATAAAAACTTGCTATTAATAGCATGCAATTAATGCTCAATAATATTTGACTACAGTTTGACTTGCCATTTTTAAAAAATGGTAATTCTTTTTATATATATAGATGTGTAGTCTACGTTAAAACAATTTTAACTAATAATTATAAATTAAAAAGGAGAATAAATAATATTAATTAAAAATTACAAATTATAGATGTGTAATAACATACTAGTTCAGCACTCGTGTATTACACGGGTGTTTGCTAAATTTTTTTCTTAAATTTAAAATTAATGAGAAAAAAAGTGGTCGAAAATTTAAATAGTTTTTATAAAAAAATATATATTATTATATACTTTAGTATGAGACTTGTTATTTGTGCGACTTACCTATGTTATATTTTAATATTTTTTCTAACTTATAACATATAACTACATTAAACATAAATATATTAATTGAGAAATGATTTTTTAAATTTATTTTAATAAATAATTTTAGTACTATTATAAAGAAACATAAAAGTTATTTATATTATATATACAACATGGGTGTCAAATCGAAGCTCATCAAAAGACGGTTAATTTGGTGTATTTTATATGTAAAACTGATAAGAAATACAAAAGTTAACAATTTTTAAAATACATTTACAATTCAATGGTTATAATAGGAAATGATATATAAAATCAAAATTAATACATATAAAATGATCATAAATAAATCAACATATTTATGGTAATTCAAACCTAATTATTTTGGAATTAAAATTAAATTAAAATCTATCAAAGCCAAATAGTGAAGCATGAAATTTTGACACCTAGGATCCCGAAGAATGCGAGCCTGCCACTTAGGCTCAGCACATTCTGGAATTATATATAGGAATGATGTAAAAAGTATTTAATATATTATATGCGAAACAAACGTAATTCTCACTCAACATAAAATAATGTAAATAACACAAAAGGTCAAGCTTTCAATATATACACTAACACAACCCAAATGCATGAAATCGGTGGTCAGAACGATCTAAATCGAAGAGTCGTGAACAATGCATTTCTCCTATAAAAGACAAATTTCTCGACGTTTCCATGTTTTCATAAAATCCAACGTCTACACATTTCTTATTTTCCCTTAACTTTATTTCGTTCGATTTTGAAGAACAATTCACAAATTAACCTTATGGATCTTATGTTATTGATTTCAAATGACGATATATATTTTCAGAAATCACGCAAAGATAATGGATTTCACTTGTTTTTCCAAATACCAAACAAATTCTTAGATTTGATGTGTTTTTTATTTGGATTTCGAAAAATAATTCAAAATTTGGCTTTAATTTTTAGTTTTTGGTTTTTGTCCGAATCATGATTTTTTCCGAGATGGTTTGTCGAGTTTTTGTTCAGATCTCGAAGTTTATTTTTCACAGTTTTTGATAGGTATGGGGAGAATAAATACATTTTGTTTGATTTTCGTAAATTTTATGTAACAAAAATGGATATCTTGCTTGAATCTATGATATTTTGTTCAAATGTGTGATTAATGTTTGATTTTTCTTCAAATGTTGGAAGTTTTTACCAAAATATTTTAAATCCGATATGAATTTTTGTTTATGCTCCAATCTAATTTCTTTTTTCACATAAATATCCCAGACACAGTAATGGTGGGACCAGATTATATGTTACCAATATTGTTTGTTATTTAAAAATCGAATGCAGATCTGGGATGTATAAATTTTTTCCCCTATTTTTAAAACTAGTGAGCATCCCGTGCGATGCACGGAAGGTTTTTACCTTAAAACCTTTTACTAAAACTTTATTTTAATAATCTATTAGCCCACAATACCATTTATATTCATATGAATAATATTTAACATGTTTATTTGTTTTTTCATACAAAAAAAATAATATTTATTTAATTTTGGTCATCATAATACTCAAATATTATTTTATTTTAAAACTTATTGGCATATAATTTCATTATTAGTATTTATCACACTTATAAAAGTAGCATTCCTTTTTTTATATAATAATAATAATTTAATGCACATTAATATTATTTATTAATGTAATTTATTTAAAATATAAAAAAATAAATATACAATAAATATTGTGTCATATATGAATCTTATTCAGTTTTATAATCTATCCTACCTCATAATAATTAAAAAAAAGTATATATATGTGAATTTATTAATTTATTAAATATATTAAGCATAAAAAAATAAATTAGTAATTAAGAAAACTCGGGGATTACTAAAATTCATTAACTGGAAAATAATTTAATAGTTTGATAAACTTTGACAACCAATTGTCATGTGATTTTTCGGAAAAGTTAACCAATTTTCACACGATCGTGTAGTATGGATTTTCCAAAAAAATTATATATGTACTAAGCCAGATTTTTTTTCCAAAAACAATATGTATAAGATTCTATAAGATTTATAATCCAAAACATATTATTGAGTCATAATTTTAGAAGAAATTCAAAACACATTATGAAGTCATAATTTTGGGAAAAAAAAAATCAAAATACATTAAAGAGTCATAAACAATTGATATACACATCCCATAAATAAAGGAAACTCATATTGCCTACAATTTTTGCAATCATTTTCTTGCCCAAAAATTGATCTGCCTACGTTGCAAAATTATTCCGCCCATCAGCATGCTCCTTCAGGTCATCTTGCGACCATCCTTCAGAGCAGTTACCGGTCGTCGTGTCCAGTCTGAGCAATGTAAATCAACCATTAATTATATTCCTAAAATTGACAAATTATAGTTTTAACATACATTTTATTACAATATTCCTTCTCACATTTCAAAGGAAGTAGTAGTAGAAGCATGATTGGTGTTGGATCTACTAATAATCATATATATATATATATGTATATATATATATTCTAATTCCATATTATATATGTAGAAACAAACACATGTCTCTAAATCACGACTCCTTCTTCTCTTCCCATCCACTCTCTGTCGAACCCTCACCTTAAACCCACCTGATGCCATCGGCAACAGGACAAAACCGGCTTCTCGATACAAAATGGCTCTAACTAGAACCGCCCGATAATCGAGGCTACCCAATACTTCATCTGGACAAATGCCATATGGACAAATCAGGATTTCTAGTCCCAGAAATCGATTTCTATAAATCATTTTTTGGAATTTTCGGGACCAGAAACCATTTCTAGGGCCAGAAACCATTTATGGGGGTCCAGAAATCGTTTATGGGTTCAGAAATCATTTATGGAAATTCTTGCATTTCTGGGGTCCAGAAATTGATTTCTGGAACCATAATCATTTCTTGGGTCTCTGGGATTTGTGGGACCAGAAATCGTGGGGTTCAGAAATCGATTTCTGGTCTCATTTCTAGGATTTCTGGACTTTTAGGGTCCAGAAGTTGATTTCTCGGCCGATAAATTGATTTATGGATCCCAGAAATTGACGATTTGTGATTTATTATTATTTTTTCACTATATTGTGTTCTTTAGAAAAAAATTCTAAAAATTGAGGGTATGATATAAGTTAATTTTTCAAAAGATTGTGTTCAACTTATTTCAAAAAAAATGAGTGTACGGGGAGAGGAATTATGAAGAGAGGAGAGAGTCTTTATTATATTATGTTATGTTATGTTATTTTTTTATATTTATTTTATTTTTTTATAAAAGTAGGTAGTAATGGTATTTTTGTCTTTTCAAGTGTCAAAATGGCTAAAAAAGATGTTTTTTTGCAAAACATGGCTAAAATTTGTGTTAGCCATTTGAACATGGCTAAAAAAAAATCCCTTGATAGATTGATCCTACACAAAAATCAATATTGATCTCACTGTCAAATTTGCGAACTGAAAAGAGTTTGGCCAGTGGTTGCCCACACTCACTCCAAACTTTACTTGATCTGCAACTCTCATTTTTCACCCGACCCCACTTAACAATCAAGTTTATAACGTTTTTTACAAATATGTGTATTTTCTATTAAAAATTTCATACTTTACAAATCAAAACAAGCAAAAATATGACATATAATACTAGAAAATATGCATTTCTATTGAAATAGAATAATAGATTGATCTCACACAAAAATCAATATTGATCATACTCTTAATTTTGTGAACTGAAAAGGGTTTGGCCAGTAGTTGCCCATAATACTCTAAACTTTCCTTGATCTGTAACTGTCTTTTTCACCCGACCCGAAAATAATGACTCGACCTGATTCAGGTCTAGATATTTTCAATTTCTCGGGTCAATAGTTGAGAAAAGAAATCCGAAAGGATAAAAAAAGAAAAAGAAAAAACGAAATGGCTTTTTATTTTTATTTTAATGTATCTGTAAAATTAGAATAGATAAAAATTAGAAAATATCCTCCCACAAAACCCAAAAACCCTACTTGATATGATAAAACCCTGTCCCCCATTTCTGAACTCTCCCAAAGCTACAGTGTGAGAGACTCATTCTCATTCCCCGTCCCCTGTCATGGCTAAATGAGCTGAATTATGTTTCGATAAAATCAGTTATGGCTAAGAGTAATTGGAGGAAGAATCCGCAGAGGCGTCGCCAAGGGCTTGGAAATGGTCTGAGTTCCATCGGAGCTCATAATTCCTGGGCGGGTGGTGTTGATCGGAAAAGGAAGAGAAAGCAGCACGACCAGCAGTTTTTTATGACTGCCAAAGATTACAGTCTGCGGCTTCAAGAGGTTTTATACACTCCCGAGTACATTTTCACTAAGATTTTCCGGAAGGATGGTCCAGCGCTTGGTGATCAGTTTGATTCTCTTCCTTCCGATGCTTATCCCAGTGGTAAGAAGGTGGATTGTGTTTTGTGGTTATTTTCTTATTCGGATAAACTGAGTATGAATTGTTCAGGTGGATTATGCTTTCATTTTCTGTGTATTTTTTCATATAATTTTTTTAGTTTAATTTCCAGTACCTTTTTTTTTTTTTGGTTTGGTAATTGCCAGATCCCAGAAAGTCTCGTCACGAGGAGAGCAGAGAAGCGAATAAAAGAAGAAAGGTCTGGAGCCTAAGTTTAATTTTCGTTTATATGTTTATTTCCTTTTCTTTTTCCCTTTTTCCCATCAACTTCCTCTATATTTTTGTAAAAGGCTATTGTAATTCTTGTTAGAGAACTTACCTGTTAGGTTTCTGCGCAGACTTGTTTAAACTTCCAAGCTTGTTCTGAGAACATTTCACCAATCAGGCATGGTATTGGGAAAGGCCTAGTGACGGCAAAGGGTGCTCCAGTAAAGAAACATGGCATGGGCAAAGGTTTGATGACTCAAATTGGTGTACCTGGGAAAACACATGGAATAGGGAAAGGTCTGATGACGGTTAGGCCACAGGCATATCCTGATGCTAGTGATTTTCCTGGTTATTGCACTGAGAGCACCACCCAGAAGAAGAAAAGAGAAAAGCCGCGAGAATCAATTCAGGTTTGCTTTTCTAATCCTCTTTTTGGTTGTCACAATTCTATATTTTCTACGGTACCAGTAAAATCTTGTCTAATAAATACGCCAGTTCATTATCAGATGTTCCATTCACACTTCTTGAGAGGTGATTGCATTTAATTATTTGTTGTGTAGAGAAAATTGGCAAACAAAGAACTGGCTAAGAGGAAGACTTCACTAAGAAGTAGAAGGGTAAAGTTTTGCTTCAGATATTCTCCATTGTACTTGTAGGTAGAAGATATCGTTTTAAGTGACTATTTACTTACCGTTTTGTTCCCTGTTATAACATCAGGTTGAATGCCAGAAAGTTCAGAAGCAGAAGAAGCCTCATAAAGAAAAATGCCCACTTGCTCTTGAAGATATGCGATGTCTAGAAAACACAGAAATCATGATATTACAGGATGATGAGGAATTGGAGCTGACAGAATTACAAGCAGGATCGAATTCGTTAACTTGTTCTGCTCATTTGGTGACCAGTGGTTCTAACGGTTGCTCCCTTTGCAAAGGTTAGTCACCCTGTACCTTAACAGTTTAACTTCCTTTTCCAAAACCTTTGCTATTTTCCACTGTTTCTAGATAAGCCACTGCCTTGGTAGATGTTTCCATCTGGTCATCCTTTTGATACTTTTTCATATTTGAATGATAGACCTGCTTGCCAAGTTCCCTCCAAATTCTGTCTCAATGAGGCAGCCATTGTCTGTGCAACCTTGGGCTTCCTCGCCAGAGCTAGTGAACAAACTTTTTAAGGTATCTGAATAAGTTTTTCTGCTTTGGTTCCAGTTGAATGAAGTCCTGATTGCTTTTAGCACCTTACTGGGAAATTAAGTGTGATTTCATTTATATTCTTCAATAAAAGTCACCATCCTGTAAATTCTTTTCTGAAAACTGTATATTTAGTAGTAATTCTTCCTGTCCCAAACTTATCCCTTCAATTTCCTTTTTTGGATGTCTCGAGGTAAGGTGCCAATTTCCTCATTTTTTTGTTCAATAACTCCATCCACATACAATTAATGCTGTCACTCAAGTAGCGAGGACCATTACTTTAAAGTGAACTAGTGTAATATAATTAAAAAAAATAAAAATTAATGGAGTACAGACAGTAGCCAATGACGAAGAGAACAGACAATATGCGAACATCATATAAGAATTATTAAGGATACACTGGGAGTACCCTCCAGCAAGAACATATTCCCGTGTCAGCTGTAGAGCTAATATACTCGCAATCTCTCTTCTGTCTTCTTCTAGGAGAGGGTCATTATTGATAATATAATTAAATGTTACAAAATAAGAATGATAATCTCTCCCTTATGAATCATTAGTCGCTGCTTGTAATCAATCAGTTCCTAGTTTGTGCTTCATCTTGGCCCTAAAAGTCCGCAACTTTGTTAGTCTTCTTTAACAGCTTATTTTATTTCTTCCTCTTCTATTAAATTATTCAATCTTGCTGCATTTGACAAGTATCAATTTCTTCCTAAAATATTAACTAGAGATTTGAATCTGACTCAAGTGGACATTTTGAAATGGTTTGACGAGAGAATATTCTGTCTATTCCTATTTTTTGAGTAATTAAGTCTGATGGTGGAATACATAGCTTAGTCCCTATTGTTCAACTGCTTTTTTTATGGTTTCAAAGTCTAGAGTCAATCACTTTGCTAATTAGAAAGCTTTGTATGTTTTCTAATGGGCTTATAAGAATTTTGGATTATAATATACATAAGATATACAACTTAACTGCAGAATGGTGTGCTACACCGTTGTGTGTGAAGGACGTTCGTGAGCTAACTTTGGTACAGACTACACATGCACCCACATTTGAGCACACACATATAGAATTGGAGTTAAACTTAAATAAAGTCAAATTACTATTAAATTCTTTCTTTTCATTTTTACTTACATCTCCAAGTCAAAACATGTTAATTTGTATATTTTTATTATGCCTGCATTTCCTAATTGCCCCAAATTTGTTTATTGAAGGCATTTCACTTCCTTTGTACATATGCTGTAACATTGAGTGTATCTTCGTTCACCTTTGATGAGTTTGTGCAAGCATTTCATGATAAGGTAAGCTGGTGTATGTTGCCGCATTAATTGGTAATTCTATTCTGTTACATAGTTTGGTTTGTTATTTTATATTCAATCCATTATCCTTATGGTTTTCAGGTATCATTGTTGCTTGGGCAAGTCCATGTGTCCCTTCTCAGGGTACTCTTGTCAGATGTCGACAAGGAGCTGAATAGGGGACTTAACTCGCATGCAATAAAAAATTGCAAATTTTTGTGCTTGCTTCATTCGGTATGTCTAATTAACTCCTTAATTATTGTGGAATTTTTTTTTTGTCATACTTCATTCATCGTGAAGAGCTAATCAACTTGGATATAATGTTATAGATCAACATCACTTATCATGTACATATATAAGATACCAGTTTTTCAGATGCAAAAATGACTGATAAATTACATTTGCTTGTATTCTATAGCGGGTTCCTTAAATTATTCTCTTCTGCATTGCTATTAAGATATTTTTGAATACATTGAGGTTCAAGTTTCTTTTAAAATCTTACAAAGTAAATTAGGTAATTAGGTAACTCTTGTTTGAGTGTTTCAAATTGCTTTTTCCCTGTTCATGCCATTATTTCTAATCCTTTGAAATTTATTTTGAGAAAATTTAAGCTAGGTCGTAATCTACATATTTTATGGAGTCTTGGAAGAATCCCTTTATGGATAACTAAAGTAGTTTAAAATTATCACTGCATAGTCTAAATATTGCATTGCAGTTTACGATTTATGTGGTTATGGCTTGATGAGAATATGAGGCGTTGTTTTGTTCTTTATAAGTAATGTGAACTATCCATATCAAAGATGATATTACAAAAATGATATGTGGGTATAATTATTATTGTCTAATAAAATCAAAGGAAATTTTGGACAAATCTTATATGAATCTTGCAATTAAAGGGAGCCGAAAATATGAAGACAAAATATTGGTAAACATACTCTTGATAGTCGTAAATGGTTCATCTAATAAAGATGCCAAAAAATAAAATAAAATAGAGATACCGATCGTGATATTAGTGGGAGCCAAAATATAGGAATAAAATATTGGTAAAGATATTCTTAATGATTTAAAATGTTCATGTGATGACAAAAACAAATATAGGTTTCAGTTGAAAACGATTTTAAAATGCGAAAATATTAGGAACAATTTGTGGAAGAAATTTAGTCAATCCGTTTCAACATATATGCTGCCAATTTCATTTTTCTTAATCAATTTTATTTTGTTGATTTAAACTCCATTTTTCATGATTTCACAGATTGAACATCAGCGCGTCGTTACGGAGTTATGGCAGAAATCACTTAACCTACTAACATGGACAGAAATACTACATCAAGTGTTGGCTGCAGCTGGCTTTGGTTCTAAGCTTGGTAAGATGGAGAAGGCAGGATACAACAAGGTATTCGTTTCCTGATGAGTGTGATTTTTTTCTAAGTCTTTATCATAGTTTCTTGTACTTAATTTGATGTTTTTCTCCATCATCGGCACATAGTTTGCCGGCACCTTTCTTGTTTGTTTGTCTCAAACTGTCAGGCGTAAAACTCATGTGAAAGTACGAAAACCCACTGAAGAGGCAAGGCAATATATTGCCATTTGCACGTCTACATGATTAACTGTTTGTGATTGAAAGGATTGTTGTTCTTTGTGATGTATAGGTTTCATGTTTTGTACATGATATGAGTGTTTGATTAATTGGAGAGATCTATAACATGAAATAAGAGGTCAGTAATACATCTTAATATTGCTTGTCTTCCTTCTGTAGGAAGCCAATCTTATGGATAAGTATGGGCTTCTTCCTGGTACGCTGAAGGGAGAACTATTCAGTATTTTATTGCCCCAAGGAAATGGTGGAATGGAAGTATCAGAGTTGGCAAGATCTTCATCTGTAAGTTTGTATTATTTTGTTGATGTTAGTCACGTTACCAAATTACATTTGAATAATGAACTTTCAGTACTATAGATATTATTGGATTTTACTTAGTGGGGAGTATTTCTGTGATGAAGATTGTTGAGTTGAATCTCACTGATAAAGTCCACGACCTGGAGAATTTAATCACCTCAGCTCTCTCTGGTGACATAACATTGTTTGAGAAGATTTCCTGCTGTGGATATCGTTTAAGGATCCATGCAACTGAAAATGAATGTGAAGACTATCCTTCTGATTCAGAAGACTTTGGGAGCGGAGATGACATTTCTGAAGTCACTGGCGGAGACGATACAAATGACTCTGTCTACGAGTCCAGAGATTCCAGTACGTTGAAAACTGATGTTGGTAAATCTGATGATATTCTGACAGTAAGTGATGAAATTGATGAGAGCCATCCAGGAGAAGCATGGTTGTTAGGACTTGTGGAGAGTGAATATTCAGATTTAAATGTTGATGAGAAGCTCAGTGCATTAGTTGCATTGATTGATCTACTTCATGGCGGATCCAGTATCAGGATGGAGGTAAATCTCTAATGTACTGTTGGGCCTTTTTCCTGCTGAAGGTTTTGTTGGACTCATGACAAGGCTTCCCTTCCATTCGTTTATGTCTCCTGTTTTCACTTAGTGTTGCTTGTGCTTTACTATTTAGAGGATATAACGGTTGATGTCTGTGCATTTGTGTGTGGAGATGCAGGATCATAACATTTGTCACATACCCTTATGTTACTTTTGTAGAAATTACTTTCTGATGTTGGTGGATGATAATCTTCGTCAATAATAAACCCAAAAATGCTTACATTGCTCTTTCCATCTATGCAATGTCTCAGAATGAAAATATAGCTGACATTGGTTAATGGGTTAACTAACTTCATTGTACTAGAAGTTGGGACGATGATGTAGACGAGAGTTTTAGCATTTACCACTGCCACCCTTTAGGCACCTAGTACTAATAGAAGTCAGCTTCCTTCTTATTTTTGTTCTGTCAGGTAGACTTGAAAACTGTTTTGGTTGTCATTGGCGTGTCTTTTTGTCAAGAACACTAATGTAGAAAATAAAGCCCCTTATCTGATGTCTTTTTTCAAAGAAAACTTGAGGGGAAGCCGCCCTGTCTTTGCTGTGAGTGTTTCACAATTTTACCCTCTTCTGTTGCATGATAACACTGATAGGATAAAATGGAAGCATTTTACGAATCAAATAACACTTTCTTCTAAATTCTGGAAATTAACTTTTAGAATTTTTTTGGTCATCCAACTTCGAAGATATTTGATCTTGTTTTCCGAATGTAGCTTACGTAGAGGAACTCTGCAAGGTCTTTCACTGCACAAAATGCTGAAACCGTGTGGACGTTTTCAATTTGGGGTTAAATGAATGTGCCCAGATGATATCTATATATGTTGACAAACCCTGAACCCTAGATGGCACTTGCTAAGATATTTAGGTTGACATGAATCATCATCTCTGGCATAGTCTGGACAGGTTTAGCTCCTTAAACGGTTAAAAGGCTGGCTTACGAGGATATCTATTTGTAAATGGTGATAATAGTAAAAGAAGACCGTAGGGAGAGTGGATAATGTATAGTTGTTTTTTACTCTCTGAGGAAAAGTAACTGTTCTTATGCCAAGCATAGTCGATATTTTTGCCTGATTTTATAGAATTGGTATACTATTTGATCTATCAGTTTGTTTTGCCTTCATGATTGTTCTAGCATCTGTGACATTTATCCAGAAGTGGTTTTTTTGCATATGAATATTCAAGTTACTCATCAGTATGCGGAAATATACTGTGCTTCTCCAGGATATCATGATATCGAATGAGGAATTTGCTCCAAATATTAGTCAGTATGGTTCTGGTGCAAAAATAAAAAGATCAATGGCGAATTGTTATAACTTGCTCGCACAACCAGAAAGCTATGGTGGGCAAAGGTTTACTGGACTGGACATAAATTCACCAGAACCAATTGATTCATTGGTTGTCATGTCAAAGATTGGTGAAGAAGAGAAGCATGCCAACATGAGAAAGATTGCCGAACAAATGGAAGCAGAGGAGTGCTTACATTCTATGCAGTCTGTATATCTGGGTTCCGATCGAAGATACAATAGGTACTGGTTATTCTTGGGTCCTTGTGATGAATCTGATCCTGGGCATCGGAGAGTTTACTTTGAATCTTCTGAAGACGGTCACTGGGAGATGATTGACACTAAAGAGGTTAACTGCTGTGACTTTTTTCCTTGTATTACTAATTCTTGCTATGTACATGGAATAATTTACTTTCCCATTTTTGTGTAGGCTTTGTGTCAATTATTGTCAATTCTGGACCGTCGGGGTGCCAGAGAGGCTCGCCTTATAGTGTCCTTAGAAAAAAGAGAAGCCATTCTTAGCCAAACGATGTCCAATATTCAAAGTGATGTTGAAAATAGGCAGCTCCAGCCAGCTCATTTTGAATTAAGTGCTTCTAGGGATGATAGTTCCTCACCAGTGTCTGATGTAGATAATCTATCCAGCTCGATTGAAATGCAAAATGAATCACCATCTTCTACTGGCGCGATAGTTGTCGAAGCATGGAAGAAAGGGGAGCGGATGGCAGAAACCCATTCTCATGCGTTCGATGCTGGAATATGGAGGTCTTTTTACTATGAACTCAATTCTGTTAAGCATGGAAACAAGACATATCTTGACTCACTCAGAAGATGTGATCAGTGTCAGGACCTCTATTGGAAAGATGAAAAGCATTGTAGATTGTGCCACACTACATTTGAGCTTGGATTTGACTTGGAAGAAAATTACGCTGTTCATTCTGCAGTCTGTCGCGCCAATATTAATATTACTGGAAAACGAAAGCAAAAGGTTTTATCTTCCCAATTGCAAGCACTTAAAGCTGCTGTATATGCTGTAGAGGTGGGTGCTGTAGATCTAAAACTATGTATGCTCAGCATAGAGTTGCATATGAAAATGCTCAATTCTATAGATGAATTAATCAGTTCAACTCCCATAATGTTCATCTAGAAACAGTAGTACTTTCTTGAGTTTAGTGACATAATTCCATTGAAATAAATTTAGATGCAAGATAAGTTTCTTTCCTATTAATTATTGTCTTTTCCCTGTCAATCCATCTGTTTAGGGGTATTTACTGAGGCTAGTAGGCGATGTTTCTGTAATCATGACCCTCACTTGGATGGACAAACATGAAAAGATCATCAATGGCTTATGTCTGATTATTACTTAAGAGGCTAGATAATATAGGTAGCTATTGAATTTCCCCAGTGTAGTGAACTGCCTTTAGTTGGAGCCGGAAGCATAACGACAGCACACAGTCATGCATTGTACCAACATGATGCGAACCATTCTGTACACAGGAATTTATTTTTTGACTGCCATAATGTTTCAGAAGTTAATTTATCAGTTTTAATTAGTACAGAGATGGATGGAGGTAGAACAATTAAAATTGTAGAAATTCTCTTGAAAAGGGATTTCTAGTTTCAATTTTGTCTCGACAATCAGTTCCTTTGATAGTATCAATTATATTTAATGTTTTGCAGTCAGCTATTCCTGACGATGCATTTTTGGGGTCTTGGAAAAAATCTGGAAATCTATGGGTCAATAGATTACGACGTGCCTCCAATTTGACAGAGTATCTACAGGTGATTATTGCACTATCGTTGTTCTCTCTCTTCCAGGTGGTTGAATTGCTGATTCACATTTTCATATCTTCTCCATTTTTGTGATGTTTAGGTCTTATCTGATTTTGTTACTGCCCTCAATGAAGATTGGTTTTATGAAGACGATGTTTTGGGTTCCCATGATACCTCAGATGACATTATTTCGAACTTTTCAACCATGTCTCGCACGTATTCTGCAGTCGCGCTGTGGTTGGTAAAACTGGATATTTTGGTTGCCTCTCGGGTGGAAAGGAATTCTTGAAAGTATTCCCATATGGTTGGCTGGTTGCAAGGTATGCACATTTTCATATTTCAAATTCCAAGTCTCAGTAATGCTTCTGTTCTGCTGTTCCTCTTTAACAAGTTTGGCTTCTAGGCTAACAGCATTTTGATTTGTTTCATACTCTGTTTGTTTTGTCATTGTTATTCCATTGCTCCTATAGTTGGTGGCTTTATGTTCAGATAACATGGAAACAATTAGTGACGGTCACAGATCTAGATTTTCATTTAGGGGAGTTGTAGTCGTAATGATTAAAATAGAGTTAATTATACAAAAGTTCATGAGCTTTCACTTATCCATAATTCAAGCTCAGTATTTAGAATTGTATTGTATAAACTGTTTGTGTATTTTATTTGTTAAGAAAATGGCTCCTATAAACATTTTCTTGCATAGTACGTACCTAACTATTTTGGTTAAAAAATGTTAGCAAAAGCCATTTTTCTGTGAAAATGAATGGGAAAAATGTATAATAACTCAAAAATTTGAAAAAATATGACAAATGCGAGTGCGGCGAACCATGGAAAGCACTTGGGAAAATCATCATGGCCATTTAATGGAGCGACAAAGTTAAAATAAGAAATGGAATTATTTTAGAGAATTGCGGTTGGATTATGGAAGTATGACAAATATAAACTTTTGTTTTCTGATATTTGGATAAAGAAAAACACTACTACGTCAACTTTATCACAAAATATACAAGGATGCTATGTTTCTGAAAAAATGATTGATTATTAAACATTTTTCCCTTGTCATAATTTTTATTTCTTCCTTTTTAAATATTTATCTATAAAGATTGTGTTTTAACTTTGGGGGCCGGCCAATCTTACACTGGATATATATTGGCCGACAGTTGACACCTCCAGAATCACCTTGTGTTTCCTTTCCTAAGCCAGTCAAACCTTAAATGTTTTTTGTTCGATCTCTTTGACCTGTTGTATTACAGGGTTACCTAATTAATTAATTATCTCGGTTCAGTGTAGTTTACCTCTCTCCTCTTTTCTTTAGCTAGTCATGTTAACTTGCCCCAATTTGAAACAGAAAGTCCAAATTTTCAACCGCTGCCAGGACAGCTGAAGATATAAAATGCAGCCGATACAAAATCCATTAATGATCGTCATTAAGAGTAATGATCATCTGGTGTACTGTAAATCTTGGTAGAAAATGTGTACTTGGAGTTAGAGAAAACTTTTTCAATGGCGCATGGATATAGGGAAAGGCTGATTTGCTAACACAATGCGTCTTATATAGTCTATATTTTGTATCTTCCTGCTAAATTGTTTAGGTCTGGTGAGTAGTCTACTTGTCTTGGTGTTTTGCTGGGTAAGTACGTATGTCTAATCTTTGTGCATAAATTTTTCTTCATTGTCTTGGTTCGTTTGTCTAACAAACAATAATATTATTATGTTTTAGCAAAACTTTAGCGATGCGACAATGATATAATGATCTTTTGCTATGGGATTAGGTACCCTGCTGCATTTGCAAGAAATTTAATATATAAACGAGAAGAAAGCAAGAAATGTGGACCTTGTGAAGATTTTGGAGCGATCAATTTAGCAAACTAATCCTTGTTCGTGATCCTGATTCGCTTCAAAAAGAATTTCAGGTGTTGATTGTTTTGTCCTGATGAATAACTGACAGCAACACACTGTAGAGGGACCTAAGCTCCTTGGTGTAGTTAGCAGGGAAATTGGTCCTTATAACACATTTTTGAATCGACAATATTTCTTTTTGCAGAAAACCTTATTGCCTGTGTAAATAACATTGTGTTGCTTTAGTGGTGTATTTGTTTTACATGTTAGGTTATTAATAAAGTACATCAGAATATATACATTATAACATTCTTTTGTAAACAAGTTACGAAGGTGGTGAAACTTTAAACCTCTTAAAGTTGGACTATGGTGGCGATGGTTGAATGAAACAAGATCACCCGTTTAGAAATATTGTTATGGAGACAAAAGAACAAAGATAAGATCAGAAATTCTATGGTGCCCATATGGGCACCATAAGTCATGCCACAATATGATGTGGCATATTATGTGGCTTTACAAATTAGATTAATAAATTCCAACATGGATATTAGGTGGTGCTTCCATAAAAACAACACAAAATAATTGTGAAAGAAATAAATAAAATATTTATAAAAAATACAAAAAAAATATATTAAAAAGATTGTGAAATCTGAAAGCATGAAATGGAGAGAGAGCAAAGGACCCCTTTTCGCCGATTTACTGATATGTTTCCCATCAGGGCCCATCTAACCCTGATGCCCAAGTCCATCTGCAGCCCAGCCTATCCCTCCAAGCAGTCCACCAGTGTGAATTTTGTAGATGAAAGAAAGAAAAAAACAGTGAAAGTCATGGTGTATTGATCCAGTTGCAGAGCATTTTTCATTACTTGATGAAGAAGTTACATCACGAATTTTTCTTAATATGCTCACTCACTCTCTTTTAACTGCCCTAGTTAATAGAACTTGGACAAGTGTCCTTCTTCATAGGTGCTTCGGGGCTTTTCCGGCGGCGGAGATCTCATCCTCCTCCTCCGACGAGGAGGTGTAAGATGATGAGGAACCGGATCGGGACGAGATCTCTTTCAGATTAAGGATTTATTTCACATTTATTTTGTGTTATTTTATGAAGCACCACCTAATATCCATGTTGGAATTTATTAATCTAATTTGTAAAGCCACATAATATGCTACATCATATTGTGGCATGGCTTATGGTGCCCATAGAATTTCTGAAGATAAGACGAAGTGAAAAAAAAATCGTTAAATTGGATTTATTGTCATATGTATATATATACACACATACTAGTATAACACCCATGAACTACACGTGGTGTTTGAGGAAAAATTTAATGGTGCAATAAAGAATGAAAAAGTGATAAAATTCTTATTGTGAAATAAAATTTTTAAACAATTAAGAAAGATCGACAATGTTCAGTTTGATTCATATCGTGAACTGTTTTATGCTTTGGGCGTATTGGAAGATGATAAGGAGTATATTGATGGGGTAATCGAAGCAAGCCAATGAGCGTCTACTCGAGTTATTACGTTGCATGTATTCGTCTTTATTATCTTTGAATCTATGGCTTGACCAAAACATGTATGGAAAAATGTCGGGAGCTACTATCTAATGATATTTTATCTAAAAGATGAAAATTATTGAAATTTCTAGGTATAAAATAATCATTTCATTAATGAAAAAAAATATCATTGTTCAAATCATGTCGTTACATGATATCTTTGATATGACCACATTAACTTATTAAAATAATTACATCACAAAATTGAAGATTTGATAAGACAAGATAAAAAAATTGGCTCTATATTAGTTGAGAAGTCACTGTGAAGACGTAGGAAGAGTCTAAGCGATTTTGATTCATTGCCTTACCCGACTATTAATGACTGTGAGAATAGTCATAATAGGATGTTCCTTGTGAACTCAACTATGATCGAAAAGCTGCGACGATTGAACACAAAAAGATTATGTCCACAATGACTATTGAACAATGTTCTATATATGGAACCATAATGAAACTTGCGCACTATAATGACGATGGTATGTTTTGTGTTTGGCTACGGTGGTACTTGAAAGACATTTTTTGTGGAGAACTTTATCTTCATGTCTCCGATCCAAAGAAAAAATTGTTCTTAATGTTGCATCAAGTAGAATAACTTCTCCTTTATTACCTGGAGGAAGAATTGCACCTTCTAGATTATGCATTCCATTACTGCCAAATGAGGACTTAAGTTATTTCGATTTCTTTTTGGTTTTAAGCCTTCGTGGCGCAGACTGTTTGCTTGGGCACCTGCTAGCCCAATTTCCAGATTTTTCGCTTTCACGGTTGTTCTCTTTCTTCCTTTTCCTTTTCTTTCTCTATTGCTTCTGGCCTTGGTTGTCTTTTCTTGTTGTATGAACTGTATGTCTGTGATTTTACAACCTATTCTTGGGTTTGATTATATACATGTTGAGGGTCATGCCTTAACCCCCCCTTTTGGGGTGTTTTCTTCAAAAAAAAAAAAAAAAAAAAAAAAAAAAAGAAAAAAAAGAAAAAAAAAGAGGACTTGAATTGTAATATAAATTAATCGAGTCCACTTGCATAATTGATTATTCGTGCATCCTTTACAATTTGGGATGAAGCTGCTACGATGAGTAAGTATTGGTTTGAAGCTCTCGATAATACGTTTAAGTCATCAATTTTATCCATCCATCCAATATGTATAAAGTGTTTGGAGGAAAACAATTACTTTTGGTGGAGATTTTCGGCAAATATTACATGTTATGCCCAAGTGAAGTCGGCAAGATATTGTTAATGCAACGATAAATGCATCTAAATTTTGGAAAGATTGTCAGGTTTTGAGATTGACTAAAAGCATGAGACTGCAGAGACATGGTGGAAATAAAGAATATCATAAGTTGGTTGAGTTTGCTGATTGGATTGTAAGAATTGGAGATAGAACAACTGGAGAAAGTGAAGATGTTGACCCCATCAATGAATATATGTCGATCTTTGAATCAATTGGAGGGTCATACCTTTTTAAGTTCTGATAACACATGCAAATCGATGGTGGTGTTGATTTCTTGCATGACATGCACACGCTGGAGTTCTAATATAATATAAAATGTTCTGGTGTTCCCAATCATGAATTGCACTTAAAGGTGGAGACTCTTATCATGTTGTTGAGAAACATTGACCATTTAATCGGACAATGTAATGGAACACGCTTTGTGATAACGAAGCTTGCCACTCACGTGTTCGAATGTGATATTATAACAATATCAAATGTTGGACATAAAGTATTGGTTCCAAGACTTTCCCTAACTCCATATGATCTCAAGATACCCTTTAAGTTCCAGCGTAGACAATTTCCTCTTGTGGTTTCTTACGTAATGACAATCAATAAGAGTCAAAGGCAATCATTATCCCATGCCGAACTTTATTTGAAAAAACTCGTGTTTAATCATGATCAATTATATGTTGATATTTCTCGAGTCACTAATGAATAGAGATTGAAATATTAATATATGACGATGATAATGGGGAAAAGAAAACTAGTGAAAATATTGTTAATAGAGAAATTTTCCACAATTTGTAATAATATACAATATTGTACTTTTACTACAGGTTGAATAGTGATGTTATTTATTTATCATTTACTTTTTATGATATATGTATTAATATATATGAAATAAAATATTTTAATAAATATATCCCGTGTGCATAGGTGAGAGTTGGAAGGAAAAGAATTTGGCAGCCACAAATTACCATACTATTTGAAGAGGGAAAAGAGAGTGACAAAGAATGGATCCGAAGTTACAGGGGAGCTGCCATGCAAAATTAAACTATGGAGAGAGAGAGAGAGAGAGAGAGAGAGAGAGAGAGAGAGAGAGAGAGAGAGAGAGAGAGAGAGACACCCCATTTCAGAAATCAACGGAGAAATTCTTACTCACCATTTCTGCACTTGCATTCAACCTTTCAATTTCAAAGTCCTTGGCTCGAATGCATGGGCGCGCTTCTCTGGATTCTGATATCAGATGAGAAGATTATTGATTGGAACGTGTAATTGAAGATTTCGAAATGGTACGCCAAACTCACTGTTAAAACATTCTTAGGAATTTTCAAATTTTATTATGAATGAATGAATAACAAAGTATTGGAGGAGAATTAAAATTATCACTCAGATGAGCTAAACATTAGGCTCACTCGTCAATTCTCAGAATATTTCATCTGGAATACGTTATGTTATGGTTGATAAGATCATGTAATTGAGAATTGATCTTTGCTGCTGCTGAGAAGGATTGCATTACATGAATAGGGAATTCGAGTGAATTACTGTTTTATAATTCAGGAATCCCAACTTTTCCAGAAAGGGGGATATATGTCGAAGATATGATTAAGTTAAGCCAATAATAAAAATCGTTTTTTATCAAGTGAAGATAAATGATGCTGCGTTCCAGAAAACTCACCGTCAAGTTTTGTTGGTCGTTTCAAAACTCTTGAGTTCACAACATTCATTTTCTGTTGACTTTTATGAGCAAATTGGTTATCCTCCTTCCCTTGAGACCAAAAAAATTCCCAGTTTCTCTGAACACATCTATCTATCAATCAGTTGCACTGGAGTTTCTATTCTCATTGTCGGAGGTCAATAGTTATATATACTCTTCTTGGTTCCCCCACGCACTTATTTATCAGCATTATTAAGTTGTTAGCAATGCACTTTAATATACGTTGAAGCATTTTCTTGTCACTATGGCATCTTTAATTGTTCTTCTTAAGAAATATTTATGTGCACTCTTCATAGTATCCTCTTTGAGTGTTGCCATCTGAAGACATCCCCCAAACTGCTCCACTTGACAGGTTATCAGAGTGTTACTTCTTACAGGCCACTTAACTACATTTTTTCAGATATATTTCGTTTTAGTTTACTTAATTTGTCCATTTGTGCACACATGTCATCTGTTGAACTTCCAGTTAATTCCTAACATTGTATTTTGTTAAGTTATCTAAATGTAACTACTACAACTCTCACAGGGCACTTCAGTGAACATAGTTGTTGGATCTCACGTTTGGATTGAGGACCCTAGGCTTGCTTGGATTGATGGACAGGTTTCAAAGATTAATGGCCAGGAAGCTGAGATCCAGACGCGTGAGGGAAAGAAGGTATATATGTTTCTGCACTTGTACTACTGTGTAATCACTCACTAGTAGGAGGATAGGATTTTTTTAATCTGTCCAGCTCTGCCAACATACTACAACTTTTACGATCAAGTGTTCTCATTGTGTTTCTTCACCCAAAACTGTCCTATAAGTTATATAACATTTACTTATAGTTACCAGTATTTATAAGAAACAGAGATATTTTTATAGGTTTACTTTGAGATATTTGATGATGATAGGTTAATTGTTGAAGAAATGGTAAACTCAGACTTTAATATTGACTTCTGATATAATTTTTTGATTCACTAATGTACACCCTGCTGTCACACAACAGTTGATGGAAGATAATCAAACGAATATGACATGATATTTAAACATGATCCCTAAAGTTCACGAAGTTTATGTATTTTTATAAGAGTGAATTGAGAGGAATATTGATGTGCAGTTAAAAACGAAACAAAAAACCTTTAACTTTCCATTTATTAGGTTGTAAAGTGGCAGGCACCCTGATAATTATTGTCCTGATTTATCTTTCAGGTTGTTGCCAAGTTATCAAAAATTTATCCTAAAGACATGGAAGCTCCTGCAGGTGGTGTTGATGACATGACAAAACTATCTTATCTGCATGAGCCCGGAGTATTAGAGAATCTAAAAACGAGATATGAACTCAATGAGATTTATGTATACTCCCTCTGTACTTGTCTTTTTTGATACTATTCTTTCTTTATTGCATTCTAATGTAGAAGCATATATTCTTTGTTTGAGCTTGTCACAGACTTACACTGGAAATATTCTGATAGCTATAAATCCGTTCCAAAAACTGCCTCATCTTTACAATCCACATATGATGCAACAATACAAGGGAGCTCATTTTGGAGAATTGAGCCCACACGTGTTTGCAGTTGCTGATGTTGCGTACAGGTTAAATCTATTATCTTTGGTAGTCAACAGACAAATGCAATGAAATTTATGTGGCTCAACAAATTATTATATATGTTCACTGCAATTAGGGCCATGATAAATGAAGGTAAAAGCAACTCCATTTTGGTGAGTGGCGAAAGTGGAGCAGGTAAAACTGAGACCACAAAAATGCTTATGATGTACTTGGCCTTCTTGGGAGGCCGGGCAGCAACAGAAGGACGTACTGTTGAACAACAAGTTCTTGAAGTATGGGTTATAATAGAGCTATTATTTTCTTTAATGGTTCACCTTTGGTCTTTTGTGTCATATTTGTCTCGTGGTCGACTCTCATGGATTTGTGACACTATTTCATGATTGCAGTCCAACCCGGTTCTTGAAGCATTTGGGAATGCTAAAACGGTTAGAAATAACAATTCCAGGTGAAATCCTTGTAACTCTTGCGTTTGAATCACACAATTATTTTCTTTAATTTACATCATATTAGTGAATACACAATATTTGGTGAATAAGTTTAGTCTGTAATCAAGTTGGAACTAAATGTATGATGACATTAATTTAACTTTCAGTTTATATTCAACAATGTTGTTAATCTATATATTGTAATATGCAGCCGGTTTGGTAAATTTGTTGAGATTCAATTTGACAAGCAAGGGAGAATATCAGGAGCAGCTATTAGAACTTATCTTCTTGAAAGATCTCGTGTTTGCCAAGTCTCTGATCCTGAGCGCAACTATCACTGCTTTTACCTCTTATGTTCAGCACCAAAAGAGGCATAGTAGTCTGATGCATTCTTTTGCCAATGCTTTCGTCTCTAACATTTGACCTTATTGAATCCTTCTTTGAATTTTATACCTTTCCTTTCAGGAAATTGAGAAGTACAAATTAGATCATCCCAAAACATTTCATTATCTTAATCAATCCAAATGCTATGAGCTGGTTGGTGTGAATGATGCGCATGAGTACCTTGCCACAAGAAGAGCAATGGATATTGTTGGAATAAGTAAAGCAGAGCAGGTATGTCCTACATATTTTGCCAATAACTGCTAAGGAAATCCGAGTTGCGGATAACTACTAATCTCCACCCTCGTTTCTCTCTTACCATCATCTCTTCCATCTCCTTCTCTGACTATTTTCTCTTGCATTTAGGAAGCAATTTTCAGGGTTGTTGCTGCTATTCTTCATCTTGGTAATATTGATTTCGGAAAGGGAAAGGAAATTGACTCATCAACTCCAAAAGATGACAAAGCCAAATTCCATCTTCAAACAGCCGCTGAACTTCTCATGTATATTTCCCTTGATTTCCAAAGCAGTAAATTCTTCTCATACTTACTTTTGGTTGTGGAGAATTCTTAAATACTTTGCCATTAGGTGTGATCCTGTCGCATTGGAAGATGCATTGTGTAAACGTGTGATGGTCACTCCTGAAGAAGTTATTAAGAGAAGTCTTGATCCTCATAGTGCAGCGGTTAGCAGGGATGGATTAGCGAAGGCAACATATTCGAGATTGTTCGACTGGTATTTAGCTTGATAGCTTTTGTACTGGTATCTTCTATGATTCCCTCATGATAAATTATATTCAAATTTTTTCTCTCGCCGTTTTTGTTATTCAAATGCAGGTTGGTAGATAAGATCAATAACTCAATTGGGCAAGATGCTAATTCAAAATCTCTCATTGGGGTTCTTGATATATATGGTTTTGAGAGCTTTAAGAACAACAGGTAGTAAGTTCTAACTGATTTATGCATTGACTTCACTTCTTAGACACCCGAACTAGCTCTCTACTATAACACTGATTTGTGCTAATTGAGGCTTTTAATTCTATGCAGCTTTGAGCAGTTTTGCATTAATTTTACAAATGAGAAGTTACAACAACATTTTAATCAGGTAGGTTTATGTTAAAATGATGCTCTATTAGCCAGTTATGACCTTAATGAGTGCCACTATATTCTTGCAGCATGTATTCAAAATGGAACAAGAAGAATACACGAAGGAAGCAATTAATTGGAGCTATATTGAGTTTGTCGATAACCAAGATGTTTTAGATCTTATTGAAAAGGTATTTCCTTGTTTGTTTTAATGTCGGTGTAAATAGCACTCATATATTGTTCCCATTTTCTTCTATACCTCGTGTCTATATCACTTGTCCATTTCTCTAATTTCTTGTATTTTACTTCTATCTCAAGATGTTGACATACCCATAGGGCCTTAAGCTTAAAGGTCCAAATGCTAATATTATTTGATGATGGAATTGTGACTACACCACTAGACTAGTCTTGTTTTTCCCCTCAATCAAATTGAAAGATAATTGAAAGATACAAGTACACTGACACTAGAGGTGGTTGGATGGGATCACATAATTAATGAATAGGCTTATGCACAAAACCCCACGTGGGAAGTATTTGAATAGAACAACTGGATCTCCATGGTGTCAGATACTCCAGTCATCAACTGATGTAATCTTTGAGTCTTCGAGTTCATTTTCATTTGAACCAACCGTAGAGAAGCGAAGATCGTTTGTAGTATATAATGTATATTTAAGCATGGCTAAGCATGAGCCAGAAAAAGAGGAATGTATATTTATGATCCTTTGGGATCTCCATCAGACTGATGGGCTTCTAGAAGTGAGTTTGGTGCATTCCCTGGAGTTCTAAGCACTCTAAGTTTCTGTGAGTGGGGGGAAATGCATGTATTAATGTGTATGTGGTATATATTTTGATATTGATAATACCATATATTAGGCGCGTATGTAATATATATATATATATATATATATATATATATATATATATTGTACCTTTGGAATATAGAATACAATTAGTTCATTTCATTCTAGATGGTATCAGAGTGAGGTTACGATTTTTAGTTCTCAAACTCCCATTTTATAATAATTTGTTTGTTTTGTGAGTGCCTATTTCGGGTGAGTTTCGATTCTTACCTCCCACCTAGGTTGACTCGCTATCGTTGGAACGGCCTTACGAAGAAATCCCAGCTGCACCACACACGCCACTGGAACTTACTCCCTGCAGTCCCATGCGCCGGCGTGTGTAGGCACTAAAAAAATTTCCAACATCGTCAGTCGACTTGGTTTTCTTTGATCTACTTTCCTGTGGCCTCATTTTTATTTTCCAACTAATTTTTGCATCCTTGATTCTTGAGGTTTCAATTTTTTTGGGACACTTGGAATAGTTCATTCGTTATCTTTGTATTGAGAACTTCAGTTGTTTCATAGTTCTGTGTATGCTTTTGACCATTTTGCATTACATTTGCATAGTGATGGTTGAAAGTATATTTTACACTTACGAAATAAAATATATTATTTAAAAAAACCATAACATTAATAAAAAAATTAGAGAAATAACCTTAAAAATTATCTTTTTAGTAGTTAGTAGTGTGGGTGTTCCTGGCAATTTAAAAGGTTCAAGAAATTACTCTTCCTTTTAAGAGATTGTAAGAGAGTTACAGATTTTGTCTCTATATACTTTTGTTGTTTGGTCTCATTTCCAGCCATTCTAGGGAGATATTTTGCAATAATTTATTTTGGCCATGGGATTAGTTAATAATGTACAATGATTGTGTGTTTGGATGTTATTTATGGGAACATGACATAATAAACTTGTGGAGATATTTGCATCTGTTGATGTTGTGGTAACTAAAAGATTATAGTTAGAATGTATATTGTATACTGATAAAGTACTAATGTTCAGTATTCCAGGCGAATTGAATATCATTGTCACAACATGCAAGATGGTACACTTTTAATGGGGGGCAAAGAACGTGAAAGAATGGAAAGGAAAACAAACATATAACTCATTTTTGCAATGCCTATGATATTCCTATATGGTGTTTTGTCTTATTAAATTTTTACTGTTCATTCTTCCATGTTGAGGATTGAGTTGGATATTTTAGAATTCTTATAGTGTCATACCTACTCGATACTTTCATATTTTTAAATTTGCATTGGTCTAAAACTGAAATACGTTATTTTGCAGAAACCTGGTGGAATCATTGCTCTTCTTGACGAAGCTTGGTAATGCTCTTTTTTTTTTTATATATATATTTCATCTTTTTGGGATTTCCAATTAGAACTTTATTTATAACAAATTTGTATTTTTTTTTTTTTTTTTTTGCTTACGTTTCTTTGTTTGATTAACTAATGTAGAACATTTGATCTTCTCTAAGGTTAATTATGACTCCATTCTCTAACTTAACGTCGTTATACTTGCAGCATGTTCCCAAAATCAACCCATGAGACTTTTTCTAATAAGCTCTATCAGACATTCAAGAATAATAAGCGGTTCGTCAAACCAAAATTATCCCGCACAGATTTTATTATTGCACATTACGCAGGACAGGTAATTTGAAATTACTTATGTACGCCCTCTGTTTGTATCCACTACCAAGTTTCTAATCTCATACTCAATTTATCTCAGGTTCAATACCAGTCTGATCAGTTTTTGGACAAAAATAAGGACTATGTGGTTCCTGAGTATCAGGATTTGTTAGGTGCTTCCAAATGTTCTTTTGTGGCAGGACTTTTTCCTCCAATAGCTGAAGAGACCACAAAATCTTCTAAATTTTCTTCAATTGGTTCACGTTTTAAGGTTATTTGAGCCTTACTTGTCATTTGAAGTGCAATATATTTTTATGTTAGTAAATTCTTTCAACAAAAATATACAATGAGACCGAAGTTTAATATGTATTTAGTTCTTCAATATCATGTGAAAACTCGTACTGAAACAAATGTATATGTTCTCAATCTCATCATGCAGTTGCAACTACAACAATTGATGGAAACTCTAAATGCTACGGAACCGCACTACATTAGATGTGTTAAGCCAAATAATCTTCTGAAACCTGCCATATTCGAAAACCAGAACATTATGCAACAACTACGTTGCGGTGTAAGTGCTTCTCATTGTGACTTCCTTAGATCTTTCTTTACTTGGCTTTTTCTTTTTCCGTTGCCTCAAAATTTTGAAGGAATTTAGACATTTAACGGTGGCCACATCCTGTTATTCAGGGTGTTTTAGAGGCAATTAGAATCAGTTGTGCTGGATATCCGACTCGCCGTCCTTTCTTTGAATTCTTAAACAGATTTGGGCTTCTTGCACCTATGGTTCTGGAAGGAAGGTCAGTACTTGTGCAGCTTTAAATTTTGATCTCACGTACATGTTTAGTCAAGGTCATGCATTTTGGTTTCTTTTTTTATTGTTAGCTACAACTATATGCTTTGTTTTTGTTTGGTTGGTGGACTAGTGTTGCTATATTGATTGCATTTTGTGGTAAAAAGGTCATGTTAGTAATGTCAAACCTTTCTCATGAGCAGTTATGAGGAAAAGTTGGCCTGTCAGAGGATTCTCGAAAAGAAGGGGTTGAAAGGTTTCCAGGTTAGTTCTCTCTCTCTCTCTCTCTCTCTCTCTCTCTCTCTCTCTCTTCCCTCTCTCTCTCAACACACACACACACACATGCATATTGTCTATCTCTTGTCCAACCGATTGTAATTTTATACGTGTCATATTCTTCCACAAGCGAGTATTATGCATAGTAAAAATTGGTAAAGTCAAATTATGTATCTTGTAATTATGAAAAAGGAATTGATATATCCTATTTAACATTGCAATTGCTATCTACAATGAACTCCAGTTACTTTTGTATGACCTGCGTGAATGTAAGTGTAAGATATCCAATATAAATTTGAAATGCGGTACACATATAAATCCAGACCATCTTTTTGTGTCCTGTGTGGCATGTGATTTGTAGGTTATTTCAGATAATTAAAATTACGCTTACTCTAACAACATGAATATACTAGTCTCACGTGTTTTTGCCATGTAATATACTTACGGATACCGTGTATCAGCATATTAGATATATCATATAACATTGCTCCTATGTAATTCTTTTGGCTGATAATGTAAAACTATGTCCCTTGTTATTGTTTGCATGGCGTCCCTATCGCTAAGTTTTCTAAAATGATATCAACTGCTTATGCATCTTGTACAAAGAAATCCACATCTCAGCAGATTCCATCACTTAGTTTGTCCCTGATTTTATATTGTCATGCACAAAGGAATCCACATCTCTGCAGTCCAATATACTTTTGATGACCTTACAGCTAGGTAAAACGAAGGTCTTCCTAAGAGCTGGTCAGATGGCTGAATTGGATGCACGTAGAGCGGAAGTTCTTAGTATTGCAGCGAAAGCTATACAACGACGCACAAGGACTCATATTGCTCGTAAACATTTTATAGCTGTGAGACAGGCTGCCGTTTATATTCAATCCTTATGCCGAAGTAAGCCACTCAAAAGTTAAAGGGTTCGACGTATATTTCCTAGCGTCCTAGCTCTCTCAGCACAATAGATTATGTTCTTGAATCATTACTCATGCATATGCAATTATTTATTTCATCTTCTCTTTCAAAATTCTTATATATTTGTATCATTCTAGGTGGACTAGCATGCAAAATTTTTGAGACTGTAAAAAGGGAAGCAGCAGCAGTGAAAGTACAGAAAAACACGCTCAGATACCAAGCTAGAAAAGCATATAACATGCTCCGGATATCTGTTCTTATTATACAAACAGGTCTGCGGACCATGGATGCCTGTAACACATTTAGATTTAGGAGGCAAACTAAAGCGACAACTGTTATTCAGGTAATAGGATATTCTATTCGTTAAAATAATATATTTTCAAATTAATGAAACACTCCAATTACTGCAAACTTTCTTAGGCACGGTGGCGCTGCCATAAAGCTGCATCTTATTATAGAAAGCTAAAGCGGGGAACAATAGTTGCACAATGCAGATGGAGAGGACGGATCGCAAAACGAGAATTACGGAAGCTTAAGATGGTAGGATTTTGTAAAATGTTATTTTTAGAATAGCGGAACCCATCTTATTTGCATATAAGATATATTGACGAAAACTCTCTTCATTAATAATAGCAACTTATATCTGAAACATATACTTATATTTGGATTTCTTTTTTGTTTAGTATATTTCTCTTGGATATTCATCAATTGACATCTACATGTACTGGGTTAATAGTTTAAACCAATGACTGAAGTTTATATTTGCGACTGCGCTTCTCTATAGGCTGCTAGGGAAACAGGTGCACTCAAAGAGGCTAAAGATAAGCTGGAAAAACAGCTAGAGGAACTCACATGGCGCTTGCAACTTGAAAAGCGTTTAAGGGTATGGTGTGTTCTTGAGACAAATATCTTTTCCGTGGCCAACTTTCAGTTTCTTTCTCTTTTGTGTCTGTGATGTTGGGTCGTTTGAGTTGGTTAATTTGATTCCTTAGATGGAGAAGAATACTGGCTGCAGTGTTTTACCATTTATGTCATGTAATTTAAATCAATTGCAGTCTGACCTGGAAGAAACAAAAGCTCAAGAGATAACAAAGTTGCAGAATACGATAGAAGACATGCAGAAAAAGGTTGATGAAACTAATGCGCTGCTTATTAAGGAACGTGAAGCTGCAAAGAAAGCAATTGAAGAAGCACCTCCTGTTGTCAAGGAAACTCCTGTCTATATTGAAGATACCAAGAAAATTGAATCTTTAACTGAAGAAATTGACAAGTTAAAGGTAATGACTCTTGATAAATATCATAGCATAGTTGCATGCATATTGATTGTTGAGACTTGTTTAGCTTCTGCCTTTGATGACCTCTGCAACATAAGATTTGTGGTTAAGTTTCTCCTATTCATTAATTAATTAATCAGTAAATCTGCTACTATTAGGTAGGCCTAACGGCTAGGCAACCATACTTTTTCAACAACTAATGCAGACATTTATACTTAAAAAATGTCATACCCTACACAATATGAAAAAATGATATTTCATATCATAAGAATGCATTTTGGTTTAAAAGTGTGGGTCGGCCCATCTAACAGTTAGGCAGCTAACAATATTTATTTTAAAATTGTATTTTCAACAGTCGGATTACCTTTGGGTTTGGTTAGATGGGCTTCCGATTATCATCGAGTATGGTAGTGTCTAATCAGACCTGACAGTTTCTCAAAGTTAAGGGGTACTGAAAAATCTGAGTAGCCATTTAGCAAGGTTCTTTTTTTTTATTATTATTATTTCCTTATTTTTGGCATTTTCAATTCTTTATATCTGACGTCAATGTAACATCATGAAATTCAACCATTTGCTACCACCATCTCTAAATTATATTATAGCCGAATGAATTATCCAGAGAACCATAGACAGAATAATGCACAATATCACTGATAAAAGCAAAACATGTAAAAAAGACAGTTAGGAAAACAATGAAAACACTTACTTGTTAATAAAATTTGGAAGACGACAGAAAGGATATGTCGAGAATTTCCATATTTTATTGTGTGAAGTTAAAAGTACAATACAAGTTGTTTTACAGAATGATAACTATGCAATCCGAGTTGGAATGTATGTATTAAAAAATCAATGTGAAATGTTTACTTTTTGCTGCGGACTCACAAATAATCTAACCAAACTTTTTTCCTGTAGTACAGGCATCTTTGCGAAATGAACTGGATTGTTCTGAAGAGTTGCGAAATAAGTATGTTGGGGCACAAGAATCTTGTGAAGAGAGTCGTGCAAAATTAGAAGAGGCAGAAAAAAAAGTTCATGAGTTGCAAGAATCTCTGCACAGGTAATTAATAAATGATGCATACTTTTTTTTTTTTTTTTTGTAAATAATATAATATAATTGGTCTATTATTAGTCGGCTATTGGAAAATGCAAATTATCTGTACTTTGCTATCGATCGTACCTTTTCAATTAATGTTGCAATTTGGGAAGTCATGTAATTTAAACGCATAGAGAGAGAGAGAGAATGCCAGAACAAAGAAAACATTGTTGACTTCCTTGAACTACATTATTATCCCACCTATTAAATGATTAACCGCAGTTATAAATAGAAAGTGCCAATTTCTGGAACATCGGAACTACTTACCAACGTGTACTAGAGCCTTCACTATTTTGTTTTCTTCTTTTCTATTTTGTTTTTGTAAAAGTAGTAAGATAGTGGAGCCTAAAGTGCATGTCATAAAAGGATGCCAATTGCTCACTTCAATGTCTTATGTCTCCCTGGAACATTGTTTGCTATTGCAACTAGCATTAAATGAGCATTTTATGTCTCCATTAGGCATGAAGAGAAGGTGAATAATTTGGAATCGGAGAATAAAGTTTTTCGTCAACAGGCTGTGTCAATAGCACCAAATAAGTTTCTTTCCGGGCGCTCAAGGTCAATCATCCAGGTACTTGCTTGACTATCTTTTTTCTGGTCTGAGAAAAATTTAAGCAGTTGTTGTATCTTATAGAAGTTCATGAAATTTTCTATGGCAGAGGAGTGACAGTGGGCATGTTTTTCCTGATGCTAAGTTGCATGTGGTAATCAATTTTCCTCAACCTAATTGCCCTTTGGTGAATGCATTTTTCTCTAACTGTTCTATTTGTTTCTCAAACTGTATTAGGATCTGCATAGCCAATCATTTACTGAAGCTGATGACAAACCTCAGAAATCACTTAATGAGAAACAACAGGAAAATCAAGAGTTGCTCATTCGTTGTATTTCGCGGCACTTGGGCTTTGCTGAAAATAGACCAATAGCAGCTTGTATAATATATAAATGTCTTTTGCATTGGAGATCATTTGAGGTTGAGAGAACCGTTATCTTTGACAAGATCATTCAAACTATTGGGCATACTATTGAGGTTTGTAATGCACAAAACCTCATACTTTGTTACAACTTTGCTATGTTTTGTTCTTTCACATATGCTCGAAATTTCTCTAATATTTGAATTCTCTCCATGTACAGAAAATACAGGATAATAATGATATGTTGGCTTATTGGTTGTCAAATGCTTCTACCCTACTATTGCTCCTCCAGCGTACACTTAAAGCAAGTGGTGCAGCTGCAATAACTCCTCTACGCCGACGGTCATCCTCAGCTACTTTGTTTGGAAGGATGTCACAGGTAAAGAAAGTTTGCAATAAAAAAAATATTATTCATTTTATTTTACTCTATTTTATAATTTTCTGAGAATCTTCTCCATCTTGGAATTTCGCCCTTCCGTAAAAAAATCTTTTTCTCGTACTAGAGCTTTCGAGGAGTACCACCTGGAGTAAATATTTCCTTTATGAATGGCCTGCCTGGTGGAGTAGAGACCTTACGCCAAGTAGAAGCCAAATACCCTGCGTTGTTGTTCAAGCAGCAGCTCACGGCATATGTAGAGAAAATCTATGGAATGATAAGAGACAATTTGAAGAAGGAGATATCGCCATTGCTTGGTTTGTGTATTCAGGTACTAAATGTGATTGTGTGATTTTTTTTTTTTTTAATAAATGCCACTTTGTTAGATTTAAATCTGGAACTCTTTCTTATCAAATGCCCTGCTGTGTATATACATCATTAGGCACCAAGAACTTCCAGAGCAAGCTTAGTTAAGGGATCATCACGTTCTGTTACCAATACAGGAGCCCAGCAAGCTTTGATTGCTCATTGGCAGGGAATTGTGAAGAATCTAGGCAATTTCTTGGATACTTTGAAAGCTAATCATGTTAGTGAAACCTCTCTCTTAATCATCTTACTACACATATCATCTTTTCCCTACAAAGTCTCTATATTCAATGTTATTTCTCATTATTATCCTATAGCTAGAGATGTCAAAACGGGTCTGGGCCCGCGGGCTAGCCCGCCCCGCCCCGCCAAAAGAGTGGGTTGGGCTGGGATATTAGAGGCCCGCTGGGGAGTGGGCCTAAACGGGCCAGCCCGCGCGGGCCGCGGGCTTTGGCAGGGCGGGCTTGGCAGGCCGCGGGCTGGCCCGCCTTAACAGAAATAAATAAATAAATAAATGTATGTAAATTGTAATTATGAATCTATGATGTATAATATATCAATGTTAATGTATTTTTTTCCATTTAAGTCACAATTTTTTTTTTTAAAAAAAAAAGGATAACAACTAAGTAAATAACAAAAGTACAAAACAAATGGAACAAATAAACAAAAAATAGCAACATAGAAAGAAACGGGGCTTATTATTTGTGAACTCAGACTCAGAGCAATAAAGTTAAAAGGCGGAAAATTAATTTAATGAAACAAAAATTAATTTTTAAGTTTTTTTTTTTTTT